TGCAAACCCATAAAGTTGCCGGCGGTGCCCAATACGTTTCAGTATGTGCCACGACACACCGGTACATCTGCTGGCAGTGCACGACCAACACAATAGTCGCACCCTATAGCAGAGTAATAGTCACGTGAACGCCAAAACCACCTCCCCCACTGGTATCGGTCGNGACGCCTACTTTTGGCCGTATACATTTTATGCTCGTCGCAGCCGGCAACACGATATCGAAACGCGTTATGCAAACCCATAAAGTTGCCGGNCCACTTTTGGCCGTATACATTTTATGCTCGTCGCAGCCGGCAACACGATATCGAAACGCGTTATGCAAACCCATAAAGTTGCCGGCGGTGCCCAATACGTTTCAGTATGTGCCACGACACACCGGTACATCTGCTGGCAGTGCACGACCAACACAATAGTCGCACCCTATAGCAGAGTAATAGTCACGTGAACGCCAAAACCACCTCCCCCACTGGTATCGGTCGCTTGAATTTCACAAAACGACATGTACGGCCTGTAGCGCTACCGATTACCGACACAGGTAGAAATTAATTACCGCGACGCGACTAATAGCCAATTAGTGATGTGTTTATAAAGAAAACAGCATAGTCTATTCAGATCCAACTGACACTTTGGTGTAATATTTTTTAAATGACTTATGGATTCTAAACTGGATTGAAATCACTCGTATTTAATATTTTGCAAGAAAAGGGCTAAAACATTGGCTATTTTGAAATACAAGTTGAAAATAAATCGTTTTATTTGTTTTTATTATCAAAAATATGCTTTTACCGTAGTCTGAAATTGTTACAAATAAAAATTACAACAAAACTATTATTGGATCCAATAGTTTTCACTTGGATTCATTACACGCTGAATATAAAATACACTGCATAAGTAGCCGAACGAGTCTAGTGTGCTTGTCCACGTCAATAAGTCGTTGGCAAGCTTCATAATATAACTGCACGTGGTTTCCTTCCGCATCAAAGTCATTAACACTTAATGTTTCGCTATGCGCGACTTACGCAAATTAAATAATTCGTCTTCTCGTTAGGAATGTGTTTAGAAAGTTGTTTAAATGATATTCACAACGACGCACAAGTCATTCTTTACACGGTTGATAGAATTTTTGAGATAATTTCGACCGGTTTTCTCGTTAAGTTTAACGGTATAACGTTAAAAATAAAAGTTTCTTGCAAGCTACATACAAACGGTTTATCTTACGATTTGCCTTACTTAAAATCTGATATTGTTTTTTACCGTAGCAGCTCGAAAACGCACCGAGGTTTAACTTTCTGAACACCTTTTTTTAGGAAAATTACTTAGTTAACAACTACCGATGTGTCGAAAATGTCACGATAGGGTTTAAATAATTCATAAGAGTGGCCTTTCAATGGTGACGCAAAAACGGTCTGTAATTGCTCACACATACCGACTTTGGGGTGTTACGGGACCCTTTCCAGTGCAGTGCAGGGGCAGAATGTTTTTGTGCGTGATCCTTATCGTCTAAACACCAACCGATCTACTCGATTACAGCGGTAACACTTAACCGATTTTTATCGGCGAATTAACGAAAAAATAAAAACATAAACACACAGTTAAATCGTACGAACGTCAAGCCACATTAACATGTATACACATAGCGCCTTGTACACTGGGCTAATAATATAACCGAATGCTACAGGTGGTAACGATGGCGTCTAACACTGTTTTCGGTTTCCTTTTAACAAACCATTCGGCCTAAGTACATAGTGTTGTATAGGAAAGGAAATGCTCGTGTAGTGAGGAATTACAATCAATAACCGTGGAATGGATCGGGTGGAAAGAGAGAGGAACACACAAAGGAAGAGTGTAGCGTGAGAGAGGTCTTTGGGCCACCTACCGAGTGGTCGCCTCCGTCGGTTCTTCCTCACAACGTGTGTGTGTGTGTGTGTACCGCGTTCGGTATACGTGCGCTTGCATACACGTTACAGCCGTATAAATGTGACCGTGGTTGTGGTATACACGCTGAGGGCACTCGTTCGAACTCATAATACGTATCCACTTGATAATGGAAACGATAATTGTATTATCGCGTGCAATTAACCCGTTTCTACTCTGATACAACGCAGCTGATGCCAACCGCACTTTGCCGCCAACGCACATAAAGATACCTGAAAAATACTCTAAATAATAATAAAACGATGCCATTCCAAACAACGATTATCGTGTTCATTTTTAGTTTGCACTGTGTATGTAGACAAACGCGCAGTTGCACTATAAACTAAGGGTATATAGTATTGTAGATTTTCATCCCTTGGTGCACTCCAGACACCTACACGATGAAAGTTAAAGATAAGACAAATTGTTACCACACCCTCTAAACAACAATCTGTAGTTACATTAAAAAGCTGTAACGCCAATTTCAGAAACTTTAATCGATAAACAAATTAATTTCAACGGCGTCTTAGGTAAAGCAACGTCAAAAAACAAATCTTCTCATAGAATAGACGCGCTTTTTCTTTGCACATAAGAGATAGCATTTTATTTTATATACAAATTATAAAAATCTCAAACACCCATTTGTGGTTTTTGTTTATAAGCCACAGAAATTTATCTTGATCACTTAATTATTTTCATCAGAATGTATTTTGACCCCTATTTTATTTCTATAAAACGCCTTCGTTGTTGATAGATAACGAGTATTAAATTTTTGTAAAATTTTACAGTTTTTAACTTCGATGTGAAACTGAGATGATTATTTATTTAACTGCGATGTTTTTTTGTGTGTGTGCCCTTAAAACTTCTCAGTTCTTAGGTTCTTTGATATTTTTGATCCATAGATGAAATTATATCTGGTTGAAGACATTTCTCTCAAAAATGTTTCAAATCCTGATTTTTTTATTAAAGAACATCACTGAAAAAATTGACGTCGTCCAAAACGGACGATTTTAATTTTCCTGTCAAAATTTAAAATTACTACACTGTATTTTTTTTTTAGAAAAATTTGATTATAGCAAATTTTTAATAGAAGTAATAGAAAGTCTTCAGTATAAGCATATCAAAAGAAAGTTTATCTCTATAGTATATAGAGTAGCGCAACATAGAATTGCGTTAAAATCATTAAGATCAATCATTATGATCAAGTAAAGTTGACCATAATTATTATGTTAATATTAATATTAATTATTGTTGGCGTTCGGTTCAAATCTTTTAATTTTAATGTTCGAATAGAAGGCAAAAAATGGCTTAGAAATTAAGACATTAGTTTAACTTAAAATAATATAGATTTGAAAAATTTTTTTTATGTAAAAAATGATTATTAAATTTATGTAATTTTTAAAGCTTTTGAAAATTTTACAATGGGGTTAATTTCATTTTAAAGAGTTAAAATTAGCTACATTTGTAATCAGTCAAAACATTTAGAAGATATTTTTTACATATTTTAAGGCTTAATACACAGATTATACTTGTTCGAATAAACTAATTTTTTCAAGTATTTTTTCTGTAGGTGTATTTTTACTAACAGTTAAAAATATATTTACCAGCTGTTTAGCATGTAGTGATTAAAAATGAAAAAGTTCAAAATATAAAACTATCATTAATTTTTGTAAAATTTTTAAAATAAGTTTCCATTTTTGCAATAACTAAATGTATAGAAGACCAAAAGATATTAAATCAGTTTTTTTAAAATAATAGTTAGTTCATAATATTGATATTTAAAAAATTAAATATGATATTAATTATGTAATCAATAGAAATAGATGTTTTATTTCGGTACATTATAACTCATTTTGCTTTCCTAAAAAAAACTGGTCAAAAAAAGGTGGTGTAAGGTCCAAATTTATAAAAAAAAAAAAATTGTCCTTAATTTTAAAATCAAATAAATATGATTTTATAATTTTTTTGAAAGAAATATTGAATTTTCTGATCAATCTAAACAATTTCAATTGATGACTTAATCTGTTGCTGTACATATATATATATATTCCATTTTAATATTTCAAAAGAATGTGATACTTCACATATCAGATATAATCAGATATATTTTTTTTTTTTTGAAATTTAAAATTATGCAGAAATGTTGTTGATAAAACTTTACCAGATTTTCATATTATGTTTAAGAGAATGAATCTTTATATGCAAATACAGGTAAAATTATTTTATATCTCGTATTTTACAACTTTCTTATTTAAACTTTAATTATATTGAATATTAAATATTATCAATTAATTAATTAAATGTACAGCCATTATTTAGAGTAAAACTTTATTTAAACTTTTAGCTTAGATGCAAAGCTGAGAAGGTATAAGTTTTGTGATATTGAATTTTTTGTTATATTTATTACAATTTTCGGCTTTCACTGGACCAATTTAAAGGTTCAAATAAAAATATCGCTGAAAATTGGAAAATTTTAATTTTAGGAATTTAGAAAAATATGTCTATATTGCGTTACCGTTAAAAACAGTATTACAAAAAAATCTGCATTTTAAAACTACTATAACTTTAAAAACACTGATCCTTTTGAAATTTTAACACAGTAAACTAAATAATAAAAAGAAATAATTTTTTTTTTGAATTTGCTATTTATAAAAATTCAATAAAAAAAAAACTCTAATACTCAAAAGGTTTGAAAGAACCACCAGTGAATTAAAAAAAAAAAACATTTTTTTTGAAAATATTCCAGAACGTCTTTCTTATTTTAAACTATACCAAATCAATACTCTTGAATATAAAATAATATATATATATCATATAATTATTATTATTATTATTAAATGTGATTACCATTAAAGGCTACAAGGGCAATTTTTGTTAAAAATATTGTTTAACGAAATGACAATAATACTATCAAAAGCATTGTCAATGTGACAACGCTTTGATCTGAGTATATATTTATAGATATATTTGTTTAAAGTTAAAAAAAGAATCTAAGATTGTATTATTGATTTTCTATATTTGAAATTTTTATCTAAATATTATTATTTAGAAAAAATGAAATAATAATAAGACTGTTACTATCGATATGATGATAATTAAGTTGTTATATTGACTTTTAACACTATATTGATAGGATACGTAGTAATGTAATTGTAATACAATTTGTTTTAGTTCTGTAACATTTATTCTCAAAGCCATTGTGTGGTATGTCTAGAAGTTTTTTTTTAATTCTTCTCTCCTTGTTTTCATATGCTGCGCTTCGAAAGGACATTGACACAAAATTCAAAGCTCGTGTACTATTATTTTTGACATATTTTTTACGAAACGGCGAGTATGTGCGCTGCTGTTTTAACCTTGGCCAACACTATGTTCACACAACTCGATACTTTTAACAATTTATTTTTACTTAAATCATATGAGTAATCCGTATATTTTTGTCTTTAATGTAAAATAAATGTCTACAGCCAAATAAATACGTTTATAGGTTTTCTCGTTAGAATAATAAACAGAACATAATTAGTAAATAATTTCCCGTAAGATGAACACGAACAGAAATGTGTGGCGTTGAAAATGTATCAAATAATATAAAATATCAAACGCAATAAGTTGTTTTCGACTCGAACGGATACAAACCATTGCAGACCGACTTTACACTTTTTCATTATGTCTTAACGACAGCAAACGCCTCTTTGGTTACCAATAGGTGAACCACATAACCCTCATTAATTTCCACCTGTGGTCATTATTCATTATATTATCATTTTACGCAGAACGTGCACTTACGTTATGTGATAGTAATCGATTTATATTATTCAGTGCGTAATAAAAACTAAATAGAACATCATCATTCTAAATTTCATGGCAATGTGTGTGTGTGTGTTTTGAACATAACGAGGGTATAACACGAAATATCACTGTGAAAAGCACACGCGTTTTTGCCATTAAACCGCAAAAAATGTTGTAGTGTTTCAAATGAAATGATTTTTAATATTCGTTATCAAATAAAAGCTCGGTCTGATGATATCGTCGTTTCTAATGAGCATTAACCACAATATTTCACTTGTCAAATGATTGTTTTCGACATCAGAAACAACGCTTATGTTTTTTTTTTTTTTATTTCAATTCGACGACCACGAGTACGGCAAAAGCGTTTGCTAATTATTTTAAAAGTGCACACTAGGCCTTCGTTGATACAGATAACAGCAGTGGCATCAACAGGGGTGTGGTCGAACGACCTTCCTGAAATGCACTCGATGAGATCCTGTGAAATCAGCCCACAAAAGCGTCACCATAAATATACTGCAGTACTGCGGCAGTCATTTATTGTCAATTAAGTTTATTATCATGAATAATATAAATAAACAGGTTAGGACAGGAGAGCACTGATGACTATTTTCCAAAATTTCCTAGTTGTAATTTCGACCATGACAACATTATCAGAACGTAAAACGATAGGCAAAGCGATTTTAACAGCAATAAAACTAACCATATAATACATATTATATATTTTTTTACTTCACACAATATTCCATCGTGATTATCTGTGCTGAAAAAATTATATTTCAATTAAAAATAAAAAATTATTTGTTTAAATATAATCGTTCATTTACCTCGTATATAAAAAAAAATAAACATAACTATGTGTTGCTAGACAACTCTAATTTTAGGCAGTCCGCTGGATTTTTATTGAATAAAATTGTTTCTTTTTTCGTAGACCTTCAAACACATTTGTAAATTATTTTTATTAAAAATTGCCAAAAATTTACTGATAACATAATTAATTGCTTACTAAAAATCCTATTCAAAATAATTCCATTTTGAACAACTAAACAAATTTTACAATCTCATTCATTAATAAAATTAAACATTTTATCGAGCTTTATGGCTAAGTTTAAATAAACAAAAAATAAATTTTTCTTTTTTATCTAACTATTTCATAAATAGTCATGCTTAACATGTACAGTTTATTATTTAAATTATAAATCAAAAGAATATTACGTACACGTTATCAATATAATTTAGTTGTAAATATTGTAATAATATAAGCACAAAATATTTTAACAATGTAATTCATATCTAATGCTTGAAAATTATAATTATTTACCAGAGGTATATATTATTCCATTCAATTCCAACTAGACCAAATTAAAATTTTCATTTTCCCCGAGTTGTCGATTGAATGATAAAAAATATCGGATTAAATGTATTTACCAATAAAATATTCTCTTAAATTACGTATGATACATGTACATTTCATTTTCTAAGTTATAATAAAAAACCAATTAATCATATTTTTGATGTTTAACGATTCAGTGGAAACGAGTTAAACACATTTATTTAATACAAATATCTTATACAAAATGATAATGAAAATGTCTCAAATATAAAAAAAATGTTGACTTCTAAGAAAATTACAAGAAATATTTTTAATTATAAATGTATTTTAAATTCATTACCAATACTTAACTTTCAAGGTGAAATTATATCAATTGCTGCGGTGTATTCAAACCAATATCAAATTGAGTGAAAAATTTAAATAAAATATTTTTTTGAGTATTACCTATTTTCTAATTAGTTTTCATTATAACTATCAGATAATCGCTTAAAAAAATAATAATTACATTCTGGTAATGACCAAAACTCATTTCCGTATTTTTCAAAAACGAACGTTGAAATTTTTTTGATTATTATTTAAAACAAAATAAAGAGTCCTTGTTTAAAAACAAGGCCTCAACTTAGGCGGTTATTAACGGGAAATTGTTTATTTGATATTATTATATGGTCATTAATTTCCAAGTAATTTAAATATCAAAAATTATTATTTCTGCGTGGTAAATATTAAGTATGTGAATATTTAGCAGACGGTATATATGAATTATAAAAATATTTGAAATTCATATAAGCTGAAAAACATTTGTAAGGTTTATTGTTAAACGGATTGTTACAATTATTTTAAAATCTTTTTAACGATAATTAAAATTCGTTAGAAATTTTACTGAACTCATAACTAAATGGAATTTAAGTTACAACGATCAAGTTAGAGTTATAATGCTCCAGTAAATTTAAATTAATTTAAGCAATAAAAGTGAGATTATGACCGCCCACAAAGTGTGTATATGCCGCAGCATTAAATGTAAACTTGGAGTTGCATAAATTAGTCGGCCCAACGTTTTCAATTATTCCCACATAATTAATAATAAATGTGTCGACCTACATCAATGTGACCAAACCGTACAGACTTGTACGTTAATGAGTGGCAAATACACGCGGCAAACATTCGTTATTGACCAGTTTTTTCAATGATGAGAATATTTGGTAAATAGTTTCGAGCGACCGTTGGCTTTTAGTTACTCATAATCGGCGGAGACGTTATTTTTTTACTAACGGTCTGTTTATGAGGATCTTTTAGAAACTCTAGAAAATTGCAGCATTACAGTAAAACTAAAGCACTTCCATAACGGCCGGTACCGATGTCAACCAACGCGGTAATATTCCAACGAGCTACCCCACCCAATTGGAAATTCGGATGTCTACCGCCGTTACTATTTTTTCATCATTACTACCGCCGTGATCGTTATTAGTGATAGTTAAAAAATATAGCTAAATAAATTTGATAGGAAAACGCGTTTGTTTCTTTATGTCCTTTGCGCCGCCAAAATACGAAATTCTATGATAATGTTTGCCGTCGGAGGAGAATAAAAAAATTAGCTCGGCACGTATGGAAAAAGTTTTTCGACGGCGGGAAGGGCGAAGTTGTTGAAACTCTGTCGAGCCCGAAAGATTTATGTACAAAAGCGCCGAAATGTTTTTGATTTATAAGCGTTCAGTGGGATCGACGAGACCAAAATATGCGATGCATACCTACTAAACGGGCAGATGGTGTTACCAGCTAACTGTTAGTTTGCACAATGTTCGGAAATGGAAGAAAAGCCTTTGATTTTGGCATTCAGCCCTCAAAACACAAAGACGGCAGCTTTTTTTTAAAGCTTTCAAAGGTTTCAAGAACGTTGATATTTATTAAAATATTCTCATAACAGTATTTGGCAAACGTCTTCACCACACGTTCTGTTTATCATTATTTTGGTATCATATTTCACATGCCCGTTGATAATGTGGTTACTGAACTTTGTGTTTTGATATTACACTCGAGAGCTAAAGAAAACATGATTTTTTCGAATGGCCAGACGGCTCGCTTTGAAATACAAATGACTTCTTAAGCTCAACAGAAAACAATGCTATGAATTATTAGTTTATATTGTTACTTCCATAACAACAATAAGCATTAGTCATGTGATAGCAATCGACCAGAGTGTAGTAATAGACGTGTAAAAATAATAAATACTGTGTAATAAAGTGTTCACAATAACATATTACCGCTACTCGTAGTATTTTACGCATCGACATTTCATTTTAGTTTATTATCCGTTCCACACGTTTTTTTCTTAAAATTAATTTGGCCTCTTTTATTCTTCATTTTTTTACTTTCACTATTTTGCTCATAACATTATTATTATGCGCGTCCTATGCATTTGTACTGTTCTCTGCGTACGAGTACTTGTCATGTAGTAACATTGTACACTTAAACGGACTCGATTTTTTCGCGTAAACAAGCGATCAGAGATTAAGGTTGTTTTTTGTTAATATCAACTCAAACTAAGAAATGTATAGAACCACGCGCACTTCTCATATTTTCAATGTATTGTTTATTACACTCGAAAAATCACCAGCAGTACAAATACAAGACGTTACATAAAATTTGTCCACGCGCATACATCTCACAATGCTTTGCGTTTCTCTGCGGTTGTGAGGACTTGGTTTTCCATAAGCTTCGAATGGTTTTTTTTTTTGCAAATCCTCTAATAAGTGAATAAATAATGATTGATTGCTATGACATGTTTGTGATAATTCATGACATTTTCAGCGGTTTCACGGACGTAGTCGCTAAGGTTGACAACAAGCTAAAAAAAATTCTCAAAACGATAGAAAATTAAAATTTATATTGTACAGTAGTGTATTATAATTTAGAAAAATGCTAGTTAAATAAGATCACATGTCTATTATTTTTTGTATTTACAAAGGCGAATTTCCTATAGGTATTATTGTTAGGAAAAAAGTAAAAAAATGAGCGCCGGCCAGGTGCAATGCTACTTAAGAATAACTGATGTACAATAGTTATTACACGGGTAGAGTGTAAGAACGTGTACACAAACGCAGTGTATGTTCTCTCTCCGGTCATAGTGTTTTCTTTTTTTTTTTTATTCTTTGCTTTTTAATATCTTTGTGAACACACGAGAAAGAAAAAAAATGAATTGTTATTATATTATCACGAACACACATTGCATCCCGGCGAGATACACTTTGTCACAATGTTTTTTTTTTTGTTTTTACATAATCATTGAAAAACAAATATGCTGTTGTTGAACACGTAGAAAAAAACGTTGTCTATTATTTCACTTTTATCGCCGACACACAAAAACATTAATTAATACGTTTTTAATAAACGTAATTGTAATAATCATAATCGAGACACTATTATAGTTTAATAATTACAATTTTATAAGGTTGTGAAAATTATTCCAACGCTGTTGAAACTCAATAAGAATATTAGTAATGTACATTTTTCCTCTTTTGTTCGTTATTAATTATTAAACAAAAGCGACTTAATATAAATAATAAAAGATAATTTACATTAGTGTATATTCTAGTAGTGAAAACACACACAGCACTATTATTATCTTGTTTGGCCAAACGCTATTTTCAGAGTTCTATGTTGATGACGACACCCGTAAAATTTTTTTTTCACAATCAATCAGTTACACTTTGCGCAAAATAGCTACTTGATAATTTTTTGCTTTGGTAAAACACGTCGCTCTTATTTGCTATCGGCTATCAGTAATTATATCAAACCCATTGAAATATTTATCGTATTTTATGTGCGATTTTTAAACACTATATTATCGTGTAATGTTCAATTAACGCGTTAAAATGATAATTAATAATAAGTTAGCGTGGACATTAACCAATTGCTAAATAACCGCCATTAACTCGGTACTACAAACGTTTTAGCCTCTAAACACAAGTGCAATAATATTATTTAATAAATCCCAAGGCTTTTGATGATTTAGGCACAATTATCAACTACCTATACTATTTCTAAACGATTTCGAATGTACATTTCTGTATTGAAGCGTAAAAACTGAGTAGTAACATTATGTTTAATAGTTTTGTAACACTTAACTTAAACCAAAAGCGATTTCCCATTTTGGCGTTTCTCAACATTTTTCTCGTTTTAAAATTAAAAACTGCTAGATTACGTGACGATGAGCGTAAACACTGCTAAAATTTGTCCGAAGGACACCCAACAGAAAATATTTTTTAGCACTATAATAATTGTCATAACCGTTTGCTGTGTGACAACAACTGACTACGACGTTCCATGCTGTGCTTCCATCGTGTGTCCGTATAATTGAGTTTTTAAATTTATTTATTTGTTGGTGACCAGTGGACGTGACTCCATTTGATAATTTACATATAAATAATGAGTGAATATTAATGCAAAAAACATTTTGGATTTGCTATAATCCAATCCGAATTTCTAATTTGTCTATTAAAGAACGGGCTTGTCTACAATTAGTTAATTAAACATTGATATTTGCATAGCAGCCAGTACGTTCACACGACATTCGTATTAATGTTTAAAAAATACATTTGGAATTCGACTGCGCCCTAAATAAGGAAACGGTTTTCTGATTATTCAACAGGAGAAGGCGGTTTCAGTGTTTTGTCGGATAAAAATTAGGCGAATTCAGTAGCCATTTTCCATAATTGTTTTTTTTTGTTGAATATTCTGTGTGTGCTCCCGTCGAATCGTATTACTACGACTTTAGTGCGTTTGTACACGCGACACTTGCCATTCTTTTTAACGGTGTTGTGTTGGAAAAAGGAAGCCTATGTGCTAATGCGGACGAGGAAGCGTCGAATTGTAACTCGACATGGCTTATTTTTTATTTTTCCACATTGATTCGGAATTACCATAAATCCGTTGCAACAAAAGTGAAATCTCATGTAAGTGAAACTCGTGTAGCGCCGACACTACCGACCCGCCGGTAACGCGTTTGCGCGGAGATGCAATTTAATTGTTCAATAACAAATATGTGTATACATATGAACGCGAGGCTAAAGATTGATTTCAGTACCAGTTATAGAAGACTTCCAAGTACAACATTATTAGAAATTACATTATCGATTTACCGCTACGAACGGCGTGCGTACACGATAAAAAAAAAAAAGGAACTTCTCGGCACCGGCGTATTCGTTGTTTTATACATACTATTCAATGGCTAAACAATAGATTATTTTTCAACGTTTTCTGATTGCAGGAAAACGCAATGCGGCGCCTAACACCGTTTTAAGTGCACAAACTCCGGCGGCGGCCAAAAAAAAATAATATAAATAAGCTTTCACTCGACAAAAAAAATTCCGTGCGCCGAGATTCACGACCGGTTAGTGTTGAGTGCATCGGCTGCCCGTCGGAGATTCAAAATTAATTACAATCCGAGTAATATTTTTACGGCGATCATCTGCCTGCGCGTTTGTCGTTGTTGGAATACATTACGTGCGGGCGACACGGCGTACTCGTCGAATCAGTAAATGTGTTTTTTTTTTTACCGCGTTATCGGCCGACAATCTCCCGTTGCTACATAATAATAATATTATACCCTTGGGATTCGGCCAATTGTGTGTGCATCGTGTGTCGCAGCAGAACGTTTCGTTTTAATTGAACGTCGACGTTTTCCACGGAATAATAGCGTTGCCAAAGCGAAATAAAAAAAATGCTCGGCGTACGTTACGGCCGGACGAAATCAAATTGCCGTTTCCGTTGGATTATATTTTTTCTCTTTCGATTTCTGTTGGCGTGTACCTACAGATGAACGAACGCATCCTCCGGGAGACACGACATCCCTGAACGGTATCGAAACGATTTTTTTGTCTTGGCCCGAAACGAGCTGGTCGACCGTAAGTAGGGCAAATGCGATCGAGTGCACTGACGTCCCAAACGGTCTTCGTGGAAACCGGCGAACTCCATTTCATCAGCAGTTTGTCGTGTTTCTCTCTCCGGTCGCCGTCCAATGAAAAGCAATCCCACTACAATGTCCGGCGTGGGAAACTCGGCGGATGATTGTTTACGAGATAACGGTTAGTTGTATCCAAACCGAAAAGCCCAAGTGAAATGATCGAGTTGTTACCGATAGGTAGCCGTGAGCGTATTGGCAAAATCGATTTTAATTGCGCTGTCAAAGCGTCCGACCGATACGTTCAAAGACCCTCCTCGTTCTTAAAAAACGCTGAAATCCACATAAACTACCGACTGTAGCGCGCGGTTGTCGTCCGCACTTGCTTTTGTTTGCAAACCTACGGCGAGCAGCAAATTTTCTTTTACTTTTTATCGGTTCTTACATTCGGATTTGGTCGTTGGAGTGGCGATGGAATAAATTAATGCGTCTCGGATATCGATTGTCCGCGATTGCGGCAAACGGGTCACAACAAGTGGGAAAACACTACTCGCGATTATATTGCGCGCTGACAGTAATGTAAATCGCTCCGACACTTTGGCCACCACTGAATGTCTCGGCGGCTCCCGTAAAAAGTGTGCGTTATATACAAATAATAACGCGATAACAAACGTTTTTTTTTTTTTCTAGATGAACGCCACCAATATCAACACTTCAATATTGCCGTTCGAAATTTGCTAAAACGCTTAGTAGCGAATCACCACACTGAACTGACAATGACATCGTGTCAACAAACACCGCAGTGGTTAATTGCTCGACGAAAATCGTACTCTTTACGTTCCCTCGTCGCTTTTTAACGCGTTACGTGAACGTCGCAACAGTAATGAGAAACAATCGGCGCCTGATATCTCCGACGTTATCTTTATTTGTTTGAAAATTAATCGCGTCACGTGACTGCCGTAAAACAGAAATCGACGTTTCGATTACTTACGACGGTTTCCAGATTTTTTATCGACGTTTTTTTACGCGATTAACGGTCGTCGGTGGTTCGTTTGAGGTTTTTGACGACGCGGACAGTCGCGTGATTGTCGTTTAGCATTCGTTAAGCGCATAAGATCTCGTGTGGCAAAAACGTCGGTGGCGAGCGTATTCACATAAGAAATATAAGCGTATTAAAATGGAATCGCATGAGCCGTTTTCAATGACAGCGGCCGAGCTCCGAGTAGGTTTTTTATCGGTCAACACGGCGATGAAACGGTTTTTCAAGCCAAAAGTGAAATCGCGAGAAAAAAACAACCGCGTGCTTGAAAGTCGATTGTTTGGCGGTGCGCGGGCTGGGTACGTTCCTTACGTCGGCGAGCAGCAAGTGCTCCGTAGAGGAGACGTGTCTAGACAATTGTTATTAAGCGCGCGCCAACAAAGAAACACACGCGCGCAGTCTGTACAACAACAAGAGTGTGTGTGCTCTTGTTACGCGCCCGTGATCTAAACGTAACTGCTCACGATCGCGTTCCGATGGTTCACCAGCCCGTAAGATCTCGTGGATATTGTTCCGACGAGGTAACAACGGCCGATCAAATGATTGGCCGTCCACAAAAACGCTTGACAGAGTGTCGTTGTTTAAAAACGCTCGTCACCGGCCGTTGCGTCACGGCTCCTTTTGGTTTGTTACGTTGTTTTGTACTCGAGTCGCACAGACAAAAGCGAACAGAGCAGTGTTGTTGTTTAGAGGGAATTAACTCGTTATTGCCGTCCTAGGTGTGTTACGTAAGACGGCTGCTCGACCCCAAACAATACTACGTGCCGTACCGCTACCGTTCAATACGATGAGACGTCGTGCGCAACGGTGCTCTCGGCCGTAATAATATTTCAACTGTGTACACATGTGTTTCACTTTCGACTGCACTTTTTACTATCCGTTTTTTGGCCGCAAAAATGTCGGCCCAAGTTCGGTACAGCGACCGTCTACGCCGTAACAATTAATAAAATAATTGATAACAGCTCTGTGCGTTGGAACTTGCAAGTAAATTAATAACGTGGCCCGGAGCCGTTTTAGACACATGGAAATAAAATGAAAATAAAAAAAACCGTAGCGGTGACTGTGTGCGAGACGGACGTAATAGGAAATATCCGGTTTGATTAAAACTGACAATAAACCTCGGGCGAGACGGCGGGAGGTAGGAATTTGAGTTGAGTCATCGGTATTTTTCTTCGAAATTTTAATACAATGCACAAATAATAGTTGATTGATTTTAAAAAACACATGTCTTAGGCATTATAACGCGTAGAAGCTCAAGAGCTTTGGCTGCTTGCGATCAACGAGCATTTCACGTTGATTGCCAGTCATACTGTACGCCGAGCGTACATTTCATAATAAATTAAAAAGTATGAAACGCTAGCGGCGCCAAATAAAAAAAAAAAAGAATTTAGTTTAATTGAGTATAAAACTTGTTGTTCGCGTTAATCACTCCCTTGGCGACCGTTTTATTCCAATTTTTAACGGCCAAATAGAAAACAAATTCTCATTTGTAACAACAATACGCTCCTCGTGTAATTTATTATGTATTTATTTATTTTTTTCGCCTAAAATGAAGTAACGCGAATTGATAGCGAGAAACAGTTTATAAAAAAAACGTACGCTCATAAACGTATTAAACGACTACTCCATTCTATAGTTCTAAATTGAAGTACATTTTATCGATTGCACGTTGCGTAATGAAATAATATCAGGTCAACTGCCAATGTTTGACAGTGTCTAGATTTTGCACGTTTTTTCGCGGCTCGGCTGCAGGTCGAAATTTAGTTGTTATTATTATTATTATTTAATTAACATCAGATCATCGAACACGTTAACAGAAAGGTTAAATATTACTGTACGTGTTTTTCCGTCGGTCGTATAGCCTTACGAAGCCACTCTCACCTCGACCTACATACGATCGCGTTCAAATATTACAATGACGACGTTGTCTCCTCCTATTGGAGTTGGCAGCTAAATTATTTGAACAATCCGTCGAAATTCGTTTCCTCTGTAAAAAATATCGTGTTCCGTCGGTAACGATCAACCCAAATTCATGAAGTACCCGTGATGTTTGTTGTACAAACCATGTTGTTTGAAAAAACAGTTTGAAATTTACATTCACAAAGGACGGCCGTCGTTCCACGACGTAGGCCCACGTCGAACACGAACCGCGTCGACATACGAGACAAATTCGACAAATGGATTAATGACCGACAGACAACCAGACTTGTGTTTAAACAGAACGACGTGGTTACCGCGGACTCATTCCTCGGTAGTGTACGCGGTTGGGCTTGTTTGTGTTTACTTTCTTTAGTTGGACGAGACCAAGTAGTGTTTACGATATCCTTGTCCGTCTCGAACAAGTATACATTACCCGGTTAAGTTCACACACGGAAAATAAATCGTATCATCTGCCGCACAAACGTTTTCGGCATCAAACGTTTTTAAAAAAATCCACATACTTTCACTCGCCTAAACATCTCTCGCTCGGCTGACATACGCGCGACTCTTCTTCTCCGTAGTATTATCTATTTTTAGCCGCACGTCCCGTTCGAGTTTAGCGACCTCTAAGTACACCAATTTCCGTCGTATACGCACCGTAAAATTTGTGCACCAGATAAGCCCATGCGTATTAGACAATCGAAATTGTGTATTTTCGTTGTGCGGTCACACTCTGCTGTCCCTATCTTTTTTACTGCGCATCACCGCGCCCGGCCAAAATCCGATGCCCCACACTTATATAATTCGATTTCACCATTTTTATTCAAAACTAACATTTAATAATAACCCCAAACGCTATCGCTATCGCACATGGTCGATCGAGTCCTACACGAGAAACATGTGCCATCAAAAAAAAAAAAATAAACGACGCGATATTAGCACCGTTTTTGGCTTTCGTTAATAGTAATTATGTTTTTTCGCAGCGAACAGTAGTTCGTTCCGCGGGTCTCGTTGAAGGGAGGCAAGCGGAGAAGGAGGCGCTTATTAAACTGCCGTTATTAATTTAAACGGGGTGGCCAATGAAGACAACATTGTTAAAGAGTATTTTACATGTGGTTTTTATTTCACGTCGAGCTACCGGAAAAAAAACGACGATTAAATAAAAAAACAATTCCGTCGATGGTTATCTAGACTAACCGCGGTTATTAACACGTTTGCTCAAAGGGTAGTTGGGACGGATGTTGCAGGGCGACGCACGAGCACGTTTTTTTTTTATAGCGCCCACGACGATGACGGTAATGGATTGCCAGGTGGTTCGGTGCGAGAAACCAGTTCGCCTATTAGCGCGCGTGTCTCTCCGTATATCTACACACGTTATGTACTTGTACACAAAGCGATGGTCGTGTGTACCCGCCGGCAAAGGAATGCGCATCCACATGTACAGAGATTACAAGGGGCGACCCAGTGCAAATAACGCTGCACTGTCCCCGCACACGATGCACACGGCCGAGGAGACGGCGTGGGAGTATCGACGGCGTATCGTTGTTAACATGCGGTGCAGGTCATGCAACACCGCTGGGATCCGAATGCCAGTGTACGCTCTAAAATACACAAAAAATAGATAAATCACATTCGGCCGGCGATTCCGAAATATAATAAAACGATTGGCCGGTTAATCGGTCGGTATCCCCCCAGCGCCACCGGACAATGACATTGATTCGACCCCCCCCACCACCACCACCACCACCACCACTACTACCCCGACTAGAATGCTAACCAGTGTGTAGGCGGACGGGTTGAAACCTACAGCGGTTAATGAAATAATTTCATTTCGGTTCGGAAGAACTAGACGCATAATCGATCTGGCCTTAATTACTCGTTTTCAGCTGTCTCAGAATACTGAAGTGAACGCAGTTTGTGTTTTTTTGTTTTCCAGTGGGTACGAATTATTAAAATGAGACAACACTGCAGTAACAACAATGTAAACGAAAACCATAAATATGTCAGTAGATCCGGCCGGTTACCAGATGAACAGAGAGAAGCAAACAGATAGACCTCACCGGTACCGGTTTCAATGTTATGTTAAATATTATGAGTGCGCTGTATGTGTTCCATTACGCGTATAATAAAAAATACGAGCCATCGCTCCCGTACGCACAAAGTGAAACGATCATATTTGTTGTACTTTCGTGACGCCTATTTTTGTGTGTTACCGCCAACCAAACACAAGATATTTCTGTAAAATTTACATAACAACGGTTATTGTTTTTTTGACTTATTGAGTTCTCTAAACGGTTCAAATTTAAATAAAACACGGACAGCAGTTATAAACGGGTTGGAAAAATTATTTTTACTTTGCACCGAGACATAAAAGCTAATCATTTTTTTTTTAATTTTCCAACAATAAATAATAACCTTGTAAAAAATATATTGCACGCAGTTAGAAATTGGAGTGCTCAGAGATAATAGACTGAAAATTGCAAATGTGTCGACTTTTAATGAATATTAAACGAAAAACTCTTTAATTGTACCTCAGGTTGAAATACGTTTTAATTAACAGTTACACAACTGTAACTAATGTAATCTACTGCACTGTGTACACAAAATCAACATTTTAATGACGATAAACAATAATATTAAGTAGTATGAAATAATTTCATAGAGTTCAATAAAAGCCATGATTTTTAATGAGTTTACAATGTTGAAATTTTATTTGAACAACAAAGTGTTCTTCCACTTTATGTAAAAATGTTGTTTTTACAGAGTAAAATCAATGGCGATTTGTTTTATTACCGATTTCGCATTTTGCGAACCCTTATTATTGTTTTCAGTCTTTACCTTGGTCGTATATTTCATATTTATTCATCGATCCGATCAAATTATAATAGTAATTATTACTTTACATAAATATTAAACACAGCGCGAGTGGCCTAATCATAGATGTAATTCTAAGTATTGTTAAAATTGTATTACTCTTAACAAACAGCTTGTCTTGAATTTTAATTCATATCATTAGTTGAGTTTATACGGATAAGTCGTAATAAGACTATTTTACATTCCAAGAAACGCACAATTTTTCATTAAATATTTCATAGATATGTACTGTGTTATCATTATAAATTATATAACTCGTTGCGATCACAATAATTGTTTCTAAAGTAGTGGACTATTACAGGTCGGTTCGATCGACGTTACCGTTATCTAAGAGGGGAACTTTTTGGGATATTGTGAGGGGACTTGGCTACCCCAAAATGTGTGAATGCCTCTCCAAAATTACGGAGATTGCATGTATTTTTAAATAGAAATATTTCGTAAGGAGTGGATAAATTAAATTAGACCTTCCAAACAATTCAAGTTGCGCCTATGCTATGAAGCATGTTAATTAATTTTCTAAACTCAAATCACCAACAAATACCTATAAACTTCCATCGCGCAATTTTAGTTTACACGAAAGTGCTAGTGATTAAATTCATATATTTATACTGTAAGCATCTAAATTAGTTTTGAAACTATATTAGAAACTATAAGTTTTAAACTCTTATTAACATGTGTATTTCTAACTGCAAACATTCTCATAACTTATCGCGGTAAATTGGATTCAGTACTCCGAAATGAATTTTATAATTTAAAGGACAAATGATATGGACATCAGTGCGTTTTGCCGGTTCGTAGTTGATCAGCCCCCCCCCCCCCCTGAATAATAACGAGATCAACGAAAAACCCAACCAGAAGCAGCAATCGACCGGCTATGAAGTGCTTGCAGAGGTACGCCATTTTTCACCGTTGCAATTGTTCATATATAAGGCGAGTGCGGCTATTAAAACGGTACACATCAACAACAACGGCGGTAGCCAACGTCCAACGATTAAGTGCATCGTGGAACACTAGACGAGACGATTTCATGGGAAAATGGCGTCGGTTGAATCAATCAATTCATTAATCACGATCAATTAAAACGCGTCATAATCATAATTGGCCAGGGTCGGTTGCCGGAGAAAGCGAACGCGGATAATCGTATCATAGCGGTGAAATTTCTATTCGGCGAACGTTCTTGTGCATGCGCGCCCGGACGCGAATATCGGCGGCGGCGG